ATATATATATATTACTATTTTATTATATTGATCTTTCAGCCATGTCTGGCTAACAATACAGAAATTACAATGATGTGGTGCATGTGCACTCATGTTACCATATCCAATAATATAAAAATGATCTTTAGTCTTTACAAAGCGACTTGTCTTGGCTGTGTTTTAGTAGACTAGTATTTTGTAAAATACAGTCACATTTCAATTATTGTACATCATAGATTATAATGATTATTGCTATTTAGAAATAAGCTCTTAAACTTATTTTTCTTAAAACATAGAACAGTAAATAAAAAAGTTATTTCTTCTAGTTATGACCTTTGTACTCGGTTGCTGCTTGACTTAGGTTGCGAAGCCTTGTAAAACTTTGCACGTGGAGGATATGAAACAAAATAATTTTATTTAGGATTTATATATACAGTTGAGTAACCAAAAAAATCATAAATTACTATGTCAATATCATAGAATTCAATTATAATTTATCAAGCTTAGTAATATGCTGTATTGTCTAAAGAAATATGAAATTTTGAGCAGACACAACCTACCTCATTGAAATTTTGGTTCGAAAGAAAGAGATGGCTTTCAAAGACATTATAATGGCTGAGAAAGCCACTAGGGGGACATTCTGAGCTTCCGATTGGTTATTCAAGTCATATATAGAAGTAAGTGTATATAATGGAGCGTTTCCAAAAATGGAAAGAGGTGGGCGGGGTGCCATTGTTTGATTTATTACATGAGCAATATCTTAGCAAATTGAAAAGATAAGAGGCCCTTATTTTATATTCTAACTTGTCAATATCGGTAATTTGAGTTCCTAATTCATACGAAACTATAGACATAATATTGTAACATCACAAACATATAATTTGAACCAGTGCTGCATTCAACATACCACGTGACACACAAAAATCAGTGTTTAACTGTGTTTTTTAATATTTACTTTTAAATTTGGAAATTGAGTAAGGTATAATACTAAAATATGAAGTATAATCTTCAGTTTTAATGTCAGACTTATTGACATAAATTCATGAAATAGTAGTTCAATAAAATTTTGAATGGGAGTCAACAAACACGATGACATGGCTTTTCACCCGTGACCTATCTGGAAAGGGTTAAGTAAATGTTTAGTAAATATTTCTGGTAAATAATCAACAGTTAATAATAAAAGGGAGAAAAAACTTAAAATGTGAAATTATATGTTTGTGAAAATTAATAATTTTTAATGGTTAATTTAATTCTCAGTGATGTTGTAATAATAGTGCTTGGTTTACGATATAAGCTTTAGTTTGTATATATTCTTTTCTTTGTATATACATTGAGAGAACCAAAAGCATTTGGATGTGTTAAACTAAAATTGTTTGTTGATAATAAATTCTGTTAGTGTATGATAAAAAGCTTGAAGATGTTTTTAACTTAAACAGTCTGATCTGGACTTTTGAAGTTTCCATCTTTTTGTTATAGGTATTTTAGTTTCACATAAAGTTGCCATAGACTTTTTTTTGTAACACATCTCACACACTCATGAACTACAAATGTTGGTGTATAGACTCATGGAATTACCATTTTGAAATTATTAGTAGACTGGTCATTCCTAAGAAATTACAATTATTAGACCATATTTGCCTCACAGAGCAATCTATAAATTCTTAGAATACAAAATGTGGACTAATATAACAAAACATTTTGTTATAAGTATTGACATCAGTTAATTCATCTATAGATGAAGAGAGTGAAAGTGAGGAGATCATCCCACCAACTCCTTTTGAACCTGAAGATAATGTGGAAAACAAAGAAGAGAAGGACAATGTATCTAGCGATTCAGAAGAGCCAATTCCTCCAACACCAACAGATAACAAGAGAAAACACGTCAAAGTTGTAACCAGAACATTTGCTGGTGACGATGGTTTTATGGGTAAAATTTCTTTTTGTTTATCTAAATTGTTAAATGATTTCTGTTGTAGAAATACATTTCCTACTGAAGAATTTATGGAGTTCGAGTGGTACAAGCTGATTTAATTTTTAAACATTGTGAAGATGTTTATAAATTTTCATCATTATTAGTTTTGTAAACACAAGTTTTATTTTACATTTCTGTGGAAGGAGCAGCTCAGACTCACAGATAAAACTGGGTTGCCATCAATCAAAATAAAATGGTAATTATCGTCATTCGCATAGAGTTATAGTTATATATGTGCGACTGATGGATATTTCCGTCATTCGTAGCTGAGCCATAGAACTTTAATGATGGAAATATCCATCATCCGCATTTAATAGGTTAATGTGTTTCATAATGTGCAATTGATGTAATATTGATTTAATTTTTTAATATAAAACAAAAATTTCCAGATTGCCGTCATTCGTAGCTGAGCCATAGAACTTTAATGACGGAAATATCCATCATCCGCATTTAATAGGTTAATGTGTTTCATAATGTGCAATTGATGTAATATTGATTTAATTTTTTTAATATGAAACAAAAATTTCCAGATTGGCCAACATCCTGTACTTGGATAGAAAAAAAAATCCACTTTTCTTTTTAATGTAATCAAACCCATTGTTTTAGATTTTTTCCATAATAGTATACTGTTTTTTTAAATGTCCTTTGTTCAACATAAATAATCTACATTCATTTAGGTTATATGAACGGTAGTTTCTCTTTGATGTTAAACTGTTTAAAATATGGTGGTTTTCACCATGAGAGTTCAGATTTTGTACTTTTCTGCAAAGTTGTTGTTGAGAACTTGAATTTTCCCACAGTTGGACTAATTCACCGAGATGATAAATCCAAAAATAAGCCTTTGATTTCATTTTTTGCCAAAACCTACTATCAGAGTCTTAATAACTTCCATAATAGATATAGCCAAACATTAGAAAGAGAGAAAACATTATAGTCTTTTGTTTCCTTTTTATTTTGAGCTAAATATTTAATTATTTTATTTTTCATAGTAACAAAAAAAGATAAAGAATATGTTAGCGACCCAGAGGATCAAGAAGAAAAACGTTTATCTCCAAAAACAAATCAAGGAAAAAAACCCATCAAGAAAACAAGTGATGAAAACTCAAAGAATTTAACAGGGCCAAAGAAACAAGTTTCATTAATGAACTTTTTTGGAAAAAAATAAAAAATAGGTGTAAAAGCTGTTACAGTTACTAAAAGCTGGAGGTAGTAGTTTTTTCTCTTTCTTTATTTTAACTCAATTACCTTTCTGCTATTTATTTTTTTTCATATAAAACTTGTGAAGAAATAAATGCTACTTGAACTTTGTGTTTACTTAATATTCAGACATTGTGTTTTATTTAACTAAAAGTAAAAACTAGTGGAAAGTAAGAAAGAGTAAGAAAACAGTTTTGTTATAATTGTCTTTTCCTGAAAGTGTATGTAGGGTTGAGTCTAATAATAAACATCTAGTGTTTGTTGAAGACAAATCAAAGGATGTTTTAAAAAACCGTAAAATAATGAAGTACTGATTTGGATAATGATTGGTTTTAGTTTTGTAGCTTTTTTTTACATCTAATTTATGGCGTTTAATCACATTTCATTACCAAATAATAAAATTTTTGTAATTTTCTAGCAGTAAAACTATTTTTTAGGGGGAATTTGCCGAAACAAAACTTTGCTACCCTGTAAATTTGCTTTGCCACTGTAAGATATAGTTAAAAACTATACTGAGCATAGAATAAATATTTAAGAACTACAGAATCCTTCCACATTAGTTTATAATATACGAATGGTGAGTATATGGTAGTGTTCAGAAATATATTTGGATAAATTTGAATATGTTAACTTGCCTGTTTTATGTGTGTATGTATGTATATATATATATATGTGTGTGTGTGTATGGAGATAATGTGCAAAATATAATATTCTTTTTTTGTGTGCAAGTTTATTAATAAAGTTTAATTATGGATACATTTGTGAATTTTTATGTGCTAATTTGAGTTATTTCATGAAGGTATTATATTTAGTTACTGATTGTGTTTCCAAAGTAAGTTACTGAGCAATTGAATATAATATGTTTAGACATTTTGAATGTAGTTGCATATGTTGTAAGTAATAAGTCAAAGGTTTTTCTTTAAGAAAAATAAAGTTACCAAAAAAAAAAAGTAAAATTAATTTAATTAAATAAAATGGGCTACATCTGTGTTAAATAATTTTTTTAGTCCATAATTAAAGCTGTGAATCTGTACATTTCATACTAGATATTTTTTTTACATGACCTTACTAAGTGTTCTTTAGCTAACAAGTTGGTGAACTGATTATTCTGGATAGAGGTCATGAGGAACTTGTTAAGGCGTTGTGTCAACGTATATTTTGTTTGGCTAAAAACTTGGCTTAAGTCTAAATTTAAATTTACACATTCTGTCGTAAAATCTGTTACAAAAATGAAAGAGTGATAATTTAGTGCTTACAGTACTTTTTTATCAATTTATGTCAGCCATTGACATATTGATATCAACGCCATTATATATGTACGGTGAAAAAAGTACAATTGAAACAGTGCAAAAACTGAAATTAAAAGTAGCCCGAAATGAAAATTTGTACAGTAGTTGCTTCCGTTATTAAATCAATTTCTAAAAGTAAATAGAACATTCGTTTCACTTACATGAAAACAAAACAACAACAACAAAAAAAAAAAAACGTTTCGTCATTGTGTTTGAGAATTATTAAAGTGTGAAATTTTATTTTCACTGTAAAATATTAAATACTAACGATTATGAACTATATAAAACAAGTAACGTAACATGAACTTTCGCAAAGTATATATTAATTTAGTTGAAATCGTATACACAAGGCGGCGCTCTATTTGAAAGAAAGTTTTAATGTTTCATTTTTGAAAGTGAATATTTTGCATATCCAAAACCAAATTTTAAGCACTACTAATTTTAACTAGATAATCATGAAGCTAAGCGAACAACATTGCAACTGCTTAATTTTTTTATAATTAATAGTTAAAAATATATCTTTGATTAGACAATTTTTATAGTGAGACTGTTTTTACATTAGGCATTTCAACGTAAATTGACGTTATTTTGATTTGTGTAGAGTGACGAAAACGTTACGTTTTGACAGCGTAAAAAACAAACCAAACTATACACTATAACTACATTGCGTCGGTCCTACAAATTATCCTTAAAAGTTTTATTTTTTCGGATTTGTGATTTGGGGATTAACTTTCAAGATGACAACAAAAACGAGACACTACAAAGATTTTCTTACATTTGCACTTATTAACAATTACTGTAATATATAATATTTGTGAAAAAAGTATTTTATGAATAACGGCCAGTGCTTTGTCGAAATGAATACGAATATTCACCATCACATTACTAAGATTTAAAAAGAACAACTCACACCAAACTCATTATATCAACAGCTATACTACATTACATTAACAGTTGTTATTATGCCTGTTTGCTTACGATTTGGCCCCTCGTGCAGTTAACTGAATAAAATGAATGGTTTATGATTTTGTACTCATTTCTTGAAGAGGCATCATATTGGGAAGCTGATGCCAATGTCACATTGAATCAGTCCAGGAAATAAAAGAGTTCCCGAGTAGTAAAAGCAAACAAATTAATTTTCAAGAAGTTGTAATATCAGAATTTCTACTTCTAGTTGTTTTTGCAAATTACGTTTCTATAATCTAATAAGAATTATGAAGGTACTTTAGTTTTAAAAGTATAAATTCTGATATAAAGATTAAATTATTGTATTTTTAATTCCAAACATCGCCACCTACTGGTATGTGATTCTTTTTTTTGTATGGAATTTTGTAAAAATACACTCGTAGCTGCGAGATATGGGTGACTTACCGAAGCTTAAGACAGTTTTGTAAAGTTAACTTAAACCGACTCATTTTGGTATTCAAGTTTCACTTCTCCGACAGTTGTGAATGATGAACAGTGACTACTGATACGTGTTTCTTTTACGAAAAGAAGCGCCCAGGGGATGGTGAGTTTAATCAACATTCCAGTAAACTAACAACCTGTTTCCGTTAAGATTATGCTCACCCTCCTCTTAACACCTTGGCAATTCCTCCGTAAAAATAATCACTTGTAATTACTGCTAACACTTTATTTAAATGTTAACAGTAATGATGTGCGGTGAAATCTACTTTCCAAACACTTTTTCCCTTTTAGAGCAATGAGATCTTCGGGAAATTTCTTTGAGACGGAGAACTGTTTCTAACCTGGAGATCTTTCTGTGACAACCGCTGACACAATGGTCTGCCAGACTTTTTGATCTCTTAATGAATCTATCCATCAGCTCTGAAGGAGGAAAAAAACACAAGAAACCTATTTAGCAAATAAAAAGTTATTTTTAAGCAATTACTATTTATCAAACAAGTTTCTATTTCAAGTTATTTTAAACTAAAAATATAGAATATCATTAAAATTGATTTCTCAATCCATTTATATAAAATATCTTGCTCAAAACAGAAAGGTAATGTTCGTAAGTCTGAGAACACTAATTCTTAGAGGACTGGATTCAAAAGAATGATAAATTAGTAAGAAATCTGATAAGTCCATGGACTTTTTTTCTTCCTTGCAACAGTAAAGGCAATTTGTAATTGAAATGTCCATTTACAAGCTTTGATTGGATTTCTTAATAACAATTATTCGACGTATGATGCCCTTTCACACTTTTAAAGGTATTTATCATTAAAGCTATTAAACAATGATTGTAGTTTTTGACGCATTTTCTTAGTTGATATATATTATGGGTTTCTGAGGTTTATTAAAATTAATTATATGACATTTTTATAGAAGTTGAAATATATTTCTAAAATACATTAATTATTAATGTCCTTTATAGCAAAGTAAAAAGAAGAACAACAAAAATCACAGTGATATAGTTTACCTTAAAAATCACTCACCATTCACACAATTGTTTGATAAAAAAAAATAGCAGTTTTTTGTGGTAACGGACGCTAAAAAGTTCACAAGGAAATATTTCTTTTACAAACGACATAATTAGCACTGTTCCTTTGGCGCTCTTAATATACTTACTTGTCTTAGTAGCTCCAAGCAAAGTGAATCTAAACGTGGTTCTCAAAACGCCGAACTCTTTTGTTGAAAGGTGCTGTTTAGAAAAGTCTGCCATTTTCTCTGTAGTTTTGTAAAGAAAAATAAATATTATAATTCTGGCATTCTCAATTTTAGATGTCTTAAAAAGATATAAGTGGACTAATTTATTATTTGCTTATTGTTATTAACACATTACATAGTTTGTTGAAATGACTTATAATATATCTTGGTTTGGGTTACAATCAATAAAATGTCTACATTCTGACAATTGCCTGAGAGGACAATATGTGTGTGTGTGTGTGTGTGTGTGAATACAGTGAGAAATATTTTACTTCAAATTTATCTACATTTTCATTTAAACATGATCAATATTACTTAGGTGAAACGCGTAATACAAAAAAATAACAAATAAAAGAATAATTAAGGTCTATGACCAGTTGCTGATTTGGATCATATTTAATACCTTGGGATTTATATTTTTCATAAGAAACACCTCGAGTGTTTCCATTTTTAAAAGATAATTTTCTGCAATCTCTTCCATTTTCATAAGAACACTTCAGGGGTGGATCTGGAGGTAGGGACACAATTGCATACCCTCTCCCCCCAACCGTAAGGTTTATCTCTCGTTTTTCGCGTAATTTTGGTTCGTTTCGTATATCTTTATGCAGAATTGATACATATTTTTTTTTTGTTACCCTTCTTTTGTTTCGTTTTCCACATGCAGTCATAATCTTTAACTTACATGTTTGTGCCTTAATTTTCTGGTAGACGACAGAAGCACGAGTGTGAAAAGGTATGGAAATGAATAGATATTTGGTAAGAAAATTATAGAGTGATCAGAGTGAAAATGATACTTTACACATTACTGATTGTGAGAAGGATGCAAATCACTCGATAAAATAAATAGTAAAGCGGCTAGGGGTACAGAGGATTGTTTTCTTCAAATGTCGCTACTGATTACACAGGCCTACGAATTTAAACTTCATAAAAGTGTTTTTGGTTTTAATAACGGATTTTCCATAATTAAGCTACGTAGATTTCGAAAATAATATTCAGTTTTTTCTATCACTTAAGAATTTTTTATAAATCGGGAAGAAAAACAACTTACTTAGATCAAATTATTATTTCTTTACCACAATGAAAGTTTTTTATTATTATGTTTGTGTACAAAAATACAAACAAACTGAAGAAAAGGGAAGAACATTGATGTCAAACGAATATGCATCCTTATTCATCCTGATTCTTTTTGTTGTGAACTATACGTCGTTTAATCTCAAAACTACGTGTTG